GCTAAATGACAATGTAAAACAATAAATAAGAAGCAACAATGCAAACCCATGAGTTCCTATCGCTTTGAAGCAGTTTGACCGCCTCAGGAATGAATGAAGCCTGAAACCTGCGAGTTCACTTGGGTAAGAGCGTCAACAAAAGATTGTGCCATCGCAGAGTTCGCCGGAGTTTGCACTGTTTCCTGTATAGGATACATTACCTATAACCCTTTTGCACAGCGGTATGCGTGACACTTATTTTTCTCCCGACCTGAACTGGAAGCATATAAGAATTTTAAGGAATATTCTATATGCATTTACATGGATTGCCTTCACTACCTCAAATACAGCTTGGCTTTTCATTTCAAGTGTTTTGTTTGGTAAATATGACGTTAAATACACCGTATACATATTAAATTCTCTCAGAAATACAGGTATAAAAACTGTCACTGGGGCAGTACCCTTTTATGGACTCTTTAGGTACAAAGGTGTAGGCCTACTTTTTGATAAGATACCGCCCCAGCGACAGCTTTCTTATCTTTATTTCAGCTTGACTATTATAATCTTGATGCAATCATCAACTGTGAACCAGTGTGTCCCTTGTACAGCAGGATCCTGGAAGAATTCAGCAGACGCAGAAACACAATGCATTGCCATAACATTCTCGTGTGTCAGTGATGAGCACATAATGAAGGAAAGTACACAAGGGCAGTCAAAAGTGGAGCCTAAGAAATATTTCTCTCTATATCTCTCTATACTGATTATTTTATATGAGTCTATTACTCATCTTCTCAACCTATTCTAAGTTTAAGCAACAACCTCTGGAGGACAGTAATGCTTAGATGAGGACTGAACTGAGCTGATGATGACATGACGTCACTGTTTTCTCCAAAGCTTCTTTATAGATGAATTAAACTATTCCATAATTGATGATCTTCATACAGCTATTAAACTGAACTGAATCAATGATGAACTGACAACTGTTTGCACCATCGAAACACTATTTTTCTGCTTAACACTGTGAAGCTGCTTTGACACAATCTGTATTGTATAAAGTGCTATAGAAATAAAGCTGACCTGACTTGATCTGCACATTAAAACACTCAGGACAGATGGCTGCATCACAGAGCAAAAGGTCAGTCGGTTGGAGCTGAAGGAACACCATATGGTTTTTATATACATATACAACAACAACATAATATATCGTGTAAAGCCTGTTTCAGGTATTTATATATCAAATGATTGACTCAAAAGCTTCCAGAATTCTTGAAATTCCAAAAATTCCAAAAAAATTTGGAAAATTCCAAAAAATTCCAGAAACTTCCCCAGCTCAAATTTTTGATTTTGCTTATATTTTTCCGAAGACAGATAAACATGTATATGAAAGCCAACATATTAAATGTCATGTATGAATATTTACTGAGTAATCCACTATTTTGTAGAGGGGGTCAAAATGACATTTTTCACCTGAGATACAGAGCCAAATTACAGGGGGGTAAAAATGACTTCAGAAAGATGGCAGCATCACAATCTTATTTTTAACACAGAGATTGGTAGATGGGAATGTATGATATTGATGACATTACCAAAGCACTTTTCGGCTGCACCAGTGTTACACTCCCCATTAGTGCAAATCACTTTTAAAAATGTAAACAGGGATGATTAAATAAAATTAAGACATGCTGGTCAATGACCTCATTCAAGTGCACAATATAGAGGGAACTTCAGGGTCAAATGAATCCCTTTGAAAAGGCCTGTCTATTTTATATTTCTAAAAAGAAAATTTAGTATGTGAAAGATCATGCAATGATCAAAGTGCGTTTCCATTGCATATCTGGAACACACATGTCAATACAGTGAGACAAGCTCCAGTGCCTGCACTCTTCTGTCTTTTGACCCGTGTAACACAGAGAAGTGTCGCCCTCTACAGGTGATCATCAGAATCACAGCAGATTTCTCTGAACTTCATCTGCAGAACTTTGGACTTTTCAGTGTCAGTTAAATCTCTTTTTTGGCCCAATAATTATGCACAACTGAATAAAAGGCGTTTTCACTTCAAGCACTCAACAATTACATATCAGCAATAAATGATTAATGATAATTAAGACTGATGTTGGCTTGCCTGGTAATTATTCATATGCTGAATTATAATAAAAGGTTAGGCGTATATTACTCAATCTGAATGCACAATGTGGAGGATTCGGAAAAGAATCACACAATGGTTTTATCCATGGGTTTGCATGAATCTGAATTAAAGAGAGAGAAGAGGTGACTGTTGGAGGAGATAAAAACGTCTTCACAAACTACAGGAGAACTAAAGATTTAGACATGAGAAAAAGAGGACAGGAGGAGGATGAGATCAAATGTAATGAATCATGAAGGAAAAAGACTCTGAGAGGAATGAACAGCATTAATAGTGTAAACCCAAACTCTGAGTCCTTAAGACAAAACACTGTTACATGTCTTACATTTCTCTGGTGTCTGAATGTGTCAAATCTATCCTAAACCATCATTGTATCTGCTGTATAAACTGAATATGAAGATAATCAGATGCTTGTGTGTGCGATTTCTAGTTTGTCATCATACAGACACACCTGAAGAAGAGATTCGTTCTGATGATTCAGACGGAGGCACAGAGAAAGTGAGACACACACATCATACAGAGAATAAATAGAGTTCAAACTGTAGAAATTAACTATAAACTGTATGTGTTATATTTCTAAGAATGTTTTTTCTTTAGAAGCTGTGGTTCCTTTTGTCCAACCAGTAGAATATTCATCAAATTCAGTCCCTGATTAAGCAGTGCATGTCTTGTATTAATATGCCTTTATATTGTCCTGAAAAAGCCATGAAATGTTCACTGCAAATTCCGTGACTCTGACTGCAAACAAGAAAAAACAGTGTCATATGCTCCCTGCAGGTGAATAACAGTATTGCAGCAGATCATCAGCTGAGATCATATGAACACCTACAGCTTATCAGACTTTAAAAGAGCTCTATTTCAGTCAGTTAAATGAAAAATGCATTTTGTGAATTCAGGGAGTAACTTTATATTTTGTTTAGAC